TCAAACATGTAAGAGAGAATTTTCTTTGAGTAAGAGAGAATTTTCTTTGAGATGGGTTCTCCCTGTGTAGCCCTGGCTATCCTGGAATTTGCTATGTAGACCAGGCTGGCCTCAAATTCACAGAGATCTTCCTGTCTCTGCTTCCCGAGTGCTGGGACAAAAGGTATGTACCACCATGCCCAGCTTGGGAAATACATTTTAAAACAGGCAGATGTGGTGCCAGACTGAGCTACATGATACCTTGTCTTTAAAAAGAAAAAAAATTAAGGCATAGCATGAGAAAGACCCTGTGAAAGCAGACAATCATTTTTATGTAAACATTTTATGTAAACATATGTAAAATTCACTCAATGTCACTGTTAATCTCAATATGAGAAAACAGAATGTTCTAACTTGCTAAGACAGGGTTTCATGTATTCTAAGCTGGCCTTGAACCTGCTGCAAAGCTAAGGACGGTCTTGAACTTCTGACCCTCTTGCCTCCACCTCCCAAGTGCTCGCACTATAGGCGTGTGGTACCATACCTGGCTTATGTGGTGCTGGGGATCAAACTCAGGGTTTTGTGCACACTAGGCAAGCACACAGTATGCCACTTAAACTACATCTACTTCTTGCCTGCCTTCTACACTCTGGCCTACTCTTTTATTCTACCTATGGGGAAACTGAGACCCGGAAGAAGAGAAGGGAGGATGCAGCATCACAAGAGTCAGAGAACATTGAAACGGGAGCCAGACAATTTGGAGAAGTGGAAATGGAACCTTATCATTTGAAAGGAAGATTTGAAGGGACACGGAGATAAATCACGTCAAGTGAGGGTCTGGGGCCTGCCCCATTTCAGCTCGGGGAAGAAGGGTTTGCGGTTTCCAGGCTGGAGCCGCTCCCAGTATAAGCCTACAGCACCAAGAGGCAAAGGGCACTTCCTGTGAAAGGAAGATGCTCTTTGTAGCCATGGGTAGAGGATACATTCTACACCCATGAGAGAATGCAGAGTCCTTCTGGGGCTGGGTGTGGTGTCTGGCATCCCATTTGGCTGCCGATAACAGGACTTTGTGTCCAGGTCCCACAGAGGATAGGTCAAACTCGCTTGGGAAGCAACAGAGTGAGTCACTCTCTGATAGATAAGGGACATAATGGCTTTCTTTTAATTTTTAAATGAAATTATTTCTTTGAGACAGTGGAGTCCAAGAAGGGTCCTCTGATGAGGCAGAATTGTGGGAGGTTGGGAACAGCCTTGTAAGAAAGGTGAAGTCCTCTTACTTTGTTTTGTTTTTGACAAAAGGTGTTACGCAGCCTAGGCTGGTCTACAGCTCACTATACAGCCAGGCTGGCTTTGAACTCCTGATCTTCCTGCTTCTGCCTCCTGAGTGCTGGTGTGTGCCGCCATGCTCGGTGGTGAAGTCCTTTCTGACAAGCAGAGGGACTAGCGAGAGATGTGAAGGACCTCATCACACACAGTGAAGACAACAGTCTTCTCTGCCAAAGAGTGGAGGCCTCGGAGACCTTTTAAGCCCTAGTGACACACAGTAAGGCATCGCTCTTAGGAACAGAGACGTCCGAGAGTCAAACCCCACAGAACCAGCCTGAGGCACAGACTAGGCACGGAAAGTTCTTGCTCCTTATTCTCCCGCTCCCCCTCCCTCAACAAGTATGGTGGTAATCCAGGTAATCCATCACTGCGCTATGCTCCAGCCCGTCACTGGGGGAGTCTAGGCAGATGGTCTACCACTAAGCCACACTCCCCGCTCCTTAATGTGAGATTCTAGGCAGGGGCTCTACCTCTGAGCCACACACCCAGCCCCTCACTGGGAGACTCTAGGCAAATGTTCTGCCACTGAGACATGCCCCCCAGCTCTCCTTTTGCTTTTTAAGAGAGGATCTCACAAAGTTGCCCAGGCTGACTTTCAACTCCCTCGGTATCCCAGGCTGCCCTTGCGCTCTCAATCCTCCTGCCTCAGCTTCCTGAGTACCTATGATTACAGAAGTGCACCACCAGGCCCAGCTAGCATCCCACATTCATTCTCATTATCCCATTTTGCAAAGGTTTGGGATCATCTTGACTGAGGTGCCGAGCAGTGAGAAACACCAGAAAAGAACTGTTTAAGATAGCTAATTAGGACAGGCAAGAAGTTCAAGCCACAGACAGAGGCTTCCCACTTCAAAGGCTTAGGGCATCCTATGTGGGTTCCATATCACATCTGGAAAAGGAGGTGTTGAGGAATGAAAGGAAATCCATTCAGAGCCCAGAAGGGGTGAAAAGTAGTCCTTGAGGAGTCCTAAGACTTGAGGAGCAGCATGGCAGAGATCTCTTCAAACAAATGATACCCAAAGCGGTTTTTGGTGGCTGTCAAATATTACCCTTGAGTCAAAAGAGGTAAAATAGACACCTATCCAGTTCCCAGGGGGTATAGAATGTCCCACTTGTCTAAGAAAAGGGCATAGCATGTTCTGTCAGAGAGTGAGAGGTACAGGATAGCCCTCTGGCACAGCTGAGAGCAAAGGAACCATCATGGGGGAAATGAAGGGTGTGGAGTGTCTGTAGAGGAAGGGGGACAGGGTTGGACAATGTCCGCTCTGACCACGTAGAGGTGAGAGGGACTGGAAATAAACATTTCCCAGGAGAGTCAGTGTGCACCCGGAATTGTGAGAGGCACCTGGGAAGAACTTCATTCGATTGTATCCACAAAGAGCGAATCAGCACAGATTTTTTTACTTCCGGGTGGGCGTAGGGTGGTCTGTCTCCACATAGGCTCACAGAGTGGGAATGTGGGATGTCTCCAGGCTTCTAGTGAAGGGCACAGGCTGTCTGTGGGTGCATGCCTGTCTGACGGGGAATGCAGGCAGTTCTAGGGGATACGGGTTGGCGGGGGTGAGTACAGGCTGTTCTGAGGGTACCAGCTGGGTCTGGAGGCACAGGCTGTCTCTTGGGGTACAGGCTGGTCTGGGGCACAGGCCATAGCTAAAAGACAAACTTTAAGAAACACGTTTCTTTAGGAGATACGCTGCTTAAGGACATGAGCTATGTCTGAGCTTCCCTTACCCACCCCCTCTCCAGTTTCTGTGAGCACAGGCTGATCTGGGCACAAATTCTTTCTCAGGGAAAAGACTCCCCCCACCCCTTCCCGGAACAAGGTTTTCCCAGATATAAGCTTCTTTCTCCCCGACCGTGGGACACAGGCCTGGGTTCAGGGCACTGCCTCTCACCTCCTGGTAGCTCAGCCGGGCCACAGGTCTCCCTGCCCGCGGGCACGTCAGCCTGCCACAGCCGCTTGACACACACCTTCCACAGCCCCATATGGGCAGCCTCACAGACGGCGCTGCCGTTGGTCTTGTACGTATTGAGCTCCACCCAGAACTCGGTGCCCACGGACAGCACAGCCAGCGTGGCACCCACCGTGGCCAGCAGCAACACCAGCTTGATCTTGCCCTCGCGCTCCGGAGTCAAGCCGAGGTTCTGCTGTCCCTGGGCACGACGCCGTCCCACAGCGGCTCGACGGCGATCCTCCTCTTGCATAAAGAAGTTAGACCACATCATCTTGACGATGGGAGCGGGCAGAGCTCAGGCGAGCTTCGAGGAGTCAGACAGATCTGTGCAGGGGTCCCTGAGGGGCAGGGAACAGGGCCTGGACTTTTGAAAGAAGTTGGGGGGGGGTGCTCAATGTCAACTAGATTGGAAATGAGCAAAAGCTGAACCCCAAATGCAAGAGTGGAGGCCTCTGCCTCTCGGGAGTGGAAAAATAAACAAAAACAAAGAAACAAAGTAACTGTATTCTTGATCTAAGGATGCCTGGTAGATTTAAACAGACACCACCTGGGCTTGTGCACCTGAATTTGGCACAGGTGAGGCCTAGAGGAAAAGCCAGGCTCCTGTGAGGTTCACCTACCCTGAGGAGCTCCAGGGAGAAGACCTGCCCAGTCTGATAGGCTCCCTCCAGTAAGCCTCAGAATTCTCCCAGAGAGGGGAGCTGAGGTGCTTCGTGTGTTTGAGAGAAATGCTCTAGGGTTGGTCGGGCTCAGAGTTTGAAAAGGGAGGAAATCCCGACACCTTTAGATTATACAAGAGTTAGGACTGGGGTTTCCCAGGGAGGATTAGATACCCCTCCAAGTATCTGAGAGGCAAAGAGGATCCTCCAATATTCACAGCAGATCCGGGTGCCCTACTGGAATTCCGGGGAAAGGGGGTGGGGGTTTGGGTGAGTCAGGAACTACTCCGAAAAGAGCCCAGGTCCCCACAGTGGCTGAGAATCACGGTGGGGTCCAGAAAAAGAGGCTGGGGGACTCTCTGGGGGCGCAGCAGAAAGACCTGGGGTCCTGACAGGGCTCAGACCAAGGCACTGTGGTTGGTCCACACTGTGGCTCAGAAAACCAGAGCAAAGTACCCTGCGGGGGGCGGGGGGACACAGGACCTGGGAAGGGACACAGTGAGTCTGTCTCCAGTCACTCGGCTCCCCCTCCCCCGGGCTCCCAGGGCCGGCCCGGCCGGGATCGCTCCAGACTCAGCTCGGGGTCCCGCGCTCCCCTCGGTCTTCCCACCCGGGTCTCCCGGGCACGGGCCCCTCGCGCTCTCCTGCCTCCGCGCTGCGCCGGCCCCAGCTCCGCGATGCCTCCGAAGCGTCCGACTTTGCTCGCCTCCGCCCGCTCGGCCCTCCGGACCCGCTGCGCTCGCTCCCGGCCTCGCCCCATCCGCCCACCCCCTCACCCCACCGGCTATTTCGGGCTCGACCCGTAAATAACACCCGCACCTGTCGCGGGCGCCTGTTGCCATAGGGATCCCGGGTATTTTAAGGGGACAAGGGGCGGGGGAGGGAGGCCTCTAGGAAGGAGGGGCTGGGGGCCGGGTCTTCAACAGGCAGAGCCTAGAGAGATTTGTTTCCCCGAGGGTCCGGAGGCGGGGCTGCAAAGTCCAAACTCCGAAATCTGGAAGCCATAGCGCCAGGGAAAGACTGAGAACTTGGGTTTCAGTCCTGAGCTGGCTGGGCTGGAGACTAGCTGGGTTGCTTGGATCTAATGGCCAGAGGCTAGGGAGAAGGACTGGAGGTGGGGGTGGGGGGGACCCCTGAGCTGAGGGAGGAGCGCTTGAGTATGGGCTTCTGGGTTTGAGGGAGGAGGGCTTGGTCTGAACTCTGGAGTCTGAGGGAGGGGGACTTAGGTTTGTACTCCTGAGTTTCAGGGAGAAGAGCTGGACTCCTAGGTATGAGGGAGGAGATCTTCAGTACAGGCTTCTGGTCCT